ACTTTTTACATTTTTACATATTTTACCACATTTTAGCGTTCACCACATTTTTATCTATTATAACTTGTTTTTAACTTATTTATGCTAATTTAGAGAACTTTTATACACTTGAAAATGACCTCGGAGAGGTCGAAACGTCGTGATTTTTTATCGCTAATATTTATCTCAAAATGATTGAAATGTCAGGTGATAAGTTCTTCCATAGAGGAAATGCTCACACGAGCTTCAAGTCTTAGAAAATATACGTTGTCTGTGGTGCCGTTGCACAGAGTAAACATGTCGAGATGGGACAAAAGGGCATTGAGATGAGTTAATCCTACAGTGGGGTTTACATTAAAACTGTTTTAGCAATAACTGAAATGTCACGTGACAAGTTATTCCATGTCGGAAATGCTCACACGAGCTCCTAGTCTTAGTAAATAAATGTTGTGTGAGTTGCCGTTTCACAGCGTAAACGTATTGAGATGGGTCTAAAGGGCATTGAGATGAGTTAATCCAACAGTGGGGTTTACATTAAAAGTGTTTTTGCATGAACTGAAATGTCACGTGACAAGTTTTTCCATACCGGAAAAGCTCACACCAGCTTCTAGTCTTAGTAAATAGACTTTGTTTGTGTTGCCGTTTCACAGAGTAAACGTGTTGAGATGGGTGTAAATAGCATTGAGATGAGTTAATCCTACAGTGGGGTTGACATTAAAACTGGGTTTGTAAGAATTGAAGTGTCAGGTGACAAGTTATTCCATGTCGGAAATGCTTACACTAGCTTCTAGTTTTAGTAAATGTACGCTGCTCGTGTTGCCGTTTCACAGAGTAAACGTGTTGAGATGGGACAAAAGAGCATTGAGATGAGTTAATCCTACAGTGGGGTTTACATTAAAACTGTTTTAGCAATAACTGAAATGTCACGTGACAAGTTATTCCATACCGGAAATGCTCATACCAGCTTCTAGTCTTGGTGAATATACGCTGTTCGTGTTGCCGTTTCACACAGTAAACGTGTTGAGATGGGTCTAAAGAGCATTGAGACGAGTTAATTGTACAGTGAGCTTTATTTTAAAATTATTTGTGTAAGAATTGAAATGTCACGTGATAAGTTATTCCATACCGGAAATGCTCACACCAGCTTCTAGTTTTAGTACATGTACGCTGTTCGTGTTGCCGTTTCACACAGTAAACGTGTCTAGATGGGTCTAAAGAGCATTGAGACGAGTTAATTGCACAGTGAGGTTTACATTGAAACTGTTTTTGCAATAACTGAAATGTCACGTGACAAGTTATTCCATACCGGAAACGCTCGTACGGGCTTCAAGTCACAGTAAATATACGTTGTTCGTTCTGCCGTTTCGCACAGGAAACGTGTTGAGATGGGTGTAAAGAGCATTGAGATGAGTTACTTGTACAGTGAGGTTTACATTAAAACTGGTTTTGTAAGAAATGAAATGTCAGGTGACAAGTTATTCCATGTCGGAAACGCTTACACTAGCTTCTAGTTTTAGTAAATGTACGCTGTTCGTGTTGCCGTTTCACAGAGTAAACGTGTTGAGATGGGACAAAAGAGGATTGAGATGAGTTAATCCTACAGTGGGGTTTACATTAAAACTGTTTTAGCAATAACTGAAATGTCACGTGACAAGTTATTCCGTACCGGAAATGCTCACATCAGCTTCTAGTCTTGGTAAATATACGCTGTTCGTGTTGCCGTTTCACACAGTAAACGTGTTGAGATGGGTCTAAAGAGCATTGAGACGAGTTAATTGTGCAGTGAGCTTTATTTTAAAATTATTTGTGTAAGAATTGAAATGTCACGTGACAAGTTATTCCATGTCGGAAATGCTTACACCAGCTTCTAGTTTTAGTACATGTACGCTGTTCGTGTTGCCTTTTTTCAGAGTAAACGTGTTGAGATGGGACAAAAGAGCATTGAGATGAGTTAATTGTACAGTGAGGTTTATATTAAAACTGGTTTTGTAAGAATTGAAATGGCAGGTTACAAGTTATTCCATGTCGGAAATGCTCACACCAGCTTCTAGTTTTAGTAAATGTACGCTGTTCGTGTTGCCGTTTCACACAGTAAACGTGTTGAGATGGGACAAAAGAGCATTGAGATGAGTTAATCCTACAGTGGGGTTTACATTAAAACTGTTTTAGCAATAACTGAAATTTCACGTGACAAGTTATTCCATACCGGTAATGCTCACACCAGCTTCTAGTCTTAGTAAGTATACGCTGTTCGTGTTGCCATTTCACAGAGTAAAGGTGTTGAGATGGGTCTAAAGGGCATTGAGATGAGTTAATCCTACAGTGGAGTTTGCATTAAAACTGTTTTTGCAATAATTGAAATGTCACGCGACAAGTTATTCCCTGACGGAAATGCTCACACAAGCTTCTAGTCTTAGTAAATATACGCTGTTCGTGTTGCTGTTTCACAGCGTAAACGTGTTGAGATGGGAGTAAAAGACATTGAGATAAGCTCAATATACGGTAAGGTTTATACTGAAATTATTTAACTGATAATGGAAATTGCATGTGAAAAGTTATTCAACATTCGAACCTTTCGTACAAGCGTCAAGTGTTAGAAATGTTCCATGTTTGTGGCGCTTTTAACGTGTTGAGATGGATGTAATGTGCATTCAAGATGAGCTAAACATGCAGTATAAATTATAATACGTTTTTGGTGATGAGAGGTAGTACGCAGCATTAAAAGTTATTCCGTAGCAAACCTTGCATGAAACTAAGATCAAATACCCCACTATTGCGATGTCACGCAACAAATATTCGTCATTCAGAACAGCTTAACGGGTTTGAAAAACCTTGTTTAAGGCGAATGTAACAGTTCTCTTACTGGTTCTTATAAATAATGTGAATATTTCTCGCTTAAATCGAATTGGCAGACAACTTCAGCCTGGTAATTTACACAGCTTTGATCGAAACATTCTCAATTACGAGAATAGTTTATTCTAAACCATAAGAAAAGGTTTAATAAGAAGTTGAATTTTTCGCTCTTTCTCTTTCGCTTTTTACATTCAGTTCATTTTATTGCCGGAATGTAAGCCTTAGAAATTAAAAGGACGTTTGATCGATTCACGCTAGCGCATTCTAGTCTTTGAAACTTTATAATGGAAGGACATCTGTGAGCAGGGAATAAGTCAGCACAGAATTTGATTGTCGGCGAATTTCTGTAAATGTCCATCAATCTGCTAGTGATAAGCTAGCCGTTGTTCACTCGTCTTGCTTGTTTGGGGCTGAGTCTTATTCCGGTCAAAGCCCGGCGGGGGGGGGGGGGGGGTT